TCTCCGACTCAGTCGCACGCCGCTACTCGCCCTCCCTCCCAGGCTCTCAAGTCTGGGAGGGAGGGGGAGCAGCGGCGCGCAAATCAGATGTTTCGCGCGCCGCGGCGGCTCGGGATCTCCCCCTCCCTCCCAGGCTCTCAAACCTGGGAGGGGGGGGGAGATTCTGAGTGGCTGCGGCGCGGGCGCCGCTTCTCCCCCTCCCTCCTAGGCTTGAGAGCCTGGGGGGAGGAGGCAGGCCTGGGGATTTGGGGAAGGGGCGGAGTTGAGGCAGGGCGGGGGGTGGGGTAATTAAAGAACGGGGGGAGGGGTGGCCAAAATTGTTTTTGCTTTGGGCGGCAAAAATCCTAGAGCCGGCCCTGATAGTGTCAGGACTTCGTAACAAAGTGAGAAAAAAAGATGGTACTTGTAAAGGCAGGATCTGTAGGTGGATGCATGTATAAACATCTCTGAAAGCAAAATTTGGTCATTAGTGCAGAGCACTGAATGTGTCTTTTCTATAAACAAAAGACATCTCATTGTGTGTTGTATTTTTTTTAAACTATTCAGTCAGCCAGTCCGGGCAATGGAATCATAACTTGGAAAATTTACAAACTGCAACAAAACATTTCTTAACAATTTATAGATTGCAAAATTGGTGTCTGAAATTAACTAGGTTTTTTCCTTGCCTAGAAGAGAGAGAATTAAAAAATGTTGGTGAGATTCACAATCTCAGTTGTTTGGCCTGATCCTGATCAACACTTACATTGATGTAAAACTGATGCAACTGCCATGGAATTACTCCTAATTTCTACTGGCATACGTGAGCTCAATGTTAGGCCTCTTGTATGTTGAATAGAACAGATTATTTTTTAGTAGTACATCTCTGAAAATAGGAGTTTTTAATGGAAATGCTGATATAACCTTATCTGTCATGTCACGAATCATCTCTCTAGCACTATGGACAAATTCATTGTTCCTACTGAGTCAGTTCTAATTAGTCGTTGATCGTTTCTCAGTATTTCCCAAAAGAGCTGATTTAGAGGAATAGTTTCATTTTAGGGTCTAGCTGATTCCCCTCCTGCAGGGGAAAAAGTGTTTATAAATTCTCCATGCATTTAAATGCACATAGAATCCAATGCATTCTCCCTTCTGTGGGGAGAGTTTAGCATAGGAAGGGAAGGGAAGGGAAGGTGGAGTCAGGAGAGGCAAGGAGTGTGTGGTCCTCCTGTATTACCATAGATCTCAATGATCCATGCAGAAATCCAGTCCTAACCACAAAGTTCTTAGGGCACCCATGTGGAGCAGCTAGTTAACATTTTAAACTCTTTGTATCCCTTGGCTTTTGCAGATAGCTCATGTCCTTTGCAGCACAAAAGATGCAATATGGGATTAGGCAATGAGGGGGTTATAGTGCTCTGAGTGGGACAGCTGAGAATTATAAAATGTAGAGTGGTCTGTGCAAGAATTAATATGCCTGAATCTGATCATTCAGGCTGCCTGAAGTTTTCATAAGTTTTACCAAATATTTCCAAAAAGCTAACCATCTCCTTTCGGAAAACTGACCACTAAAGCACCAGCAAGCAGACTCTAACGTTCAGGTGGCAGGTCGTACTGTCTGAGTTATTGTAAAACACCCAACAAGAAAAGCAACCCCACATTAGCACAACGCTGGAGAAGTAGAAAGCCCCCTCGCATCTTGACTTGTTGAGGGTCTTTCTGTAATCAGGGGTTGTGCTAGGCATGAGGGTTAGGTTTGCACATGAGGCATGGCAAATGTTGATAAAATCATGGATTTGTGACTCATTGGTGATATATTTTTTTTGTTTCCAGAATGATCTGCACAGCTTCCAAGTCTCATGCTTCCTCCTCTTCTGTTCCCAATAAGGGTATCCCCAGAGGGAAGGAAAGCAGCTCTTCATTTCTTGGCAGGAGGCCAGGCACTTGGAACAGGAAGAAATGGATCTCTGCACTTGCCCCTTCAGGGGGCTAGGCAAGGGGCCCTGAAAACGAAAACAAAGAAGTCAGCGGAACCTGAGACATCTGTGAACACTGACACAAAACCAGTCTTATCCATAATACACCACAGCTTCCTAACATATACTGCTCTTTAACTGATTTACAAATTGACATATAAGGGAACAATGAATATGATTCTTTACTTACCCAAAGCTATCCAATGGCCACTATGCAAGGAGTTGGTGTTCTTAGCTCACTCTCTTTTAAACAGTTTTTCAGATTTAAAAAAAAAAGTCACAAGTAACACTGACATCTTTGCTGGTGGTTTCAGCAAAGAAGGCCAAAGGCTGAATTAAATATACGAAATACCCCCCTTCTTGTCCCTAGTAAGTTGCCTCTCTAGATCAGGGCAAAGGCATGAGGCAGGGAGGTTTTCTTTAGGGAATTTTGCATCTTTTGCAGTCAGTGCTACATCTGGTCTGTTGGCTAGAAGAATGTTGTTTTAAGTGTTTTAAGATCACTGGCACTCATTTAAAACATACTAAGAAATTCATATGGAAAGTGGAGACATTTTTAAATGCTTTTGCTGTAACTGTTTAATGTACAGCTGGTGCTGTGGTTGCAAGTTTAACAGCTCGTCATACTGTCCTATCAGTTCTACTGGTTTTAATCCAGTAATACTTTTGATTAGAACAAAACCCTTTTTGTGCTAACGTAAAGTGAGTAACAAATAAAAGGGAAAAGCTAGAAGTAGATTTGATGGCTAAAATGACCTTTATTGTGCCAAGATTTCAGTAACAAAAATGATAGTTGGAAGGGGAAAAACCTCAATGTGCTATGTTACACAGGAGAGAGTCACTGTACTTGTAATACATTTTGTATTAGTTTTCAGGATATGGGAGGTGAAATAGATGCAAGGGGATCATCTGTCTTAAAATGAGACATAGGGGATAGCTGAACCTACAGCCTTATCTGTCAATTTCATGGCCTCTCCCCATTTTCAAATGTTCCTCATACATTGTATACAAAAAGTAATAACATTGGCATTGAAGCTTGCCACTGCCAAATTGCATCTCCTTTATTGTTCATGGTCTCAGGTCAAGTTGAGTCACTGAAAACAATGGCTCTTTGTATGTATCTTTACTCCCTAATCACACAGTTTTTGGTTTCCAAATTTTTGTAGCACTCCCTGGTTTGAAAGTGTCTATTTAAACAGGATACTTTGCTCTCTTTTGTAAACATGTCTCCATTAGTGAAAGCGACATCATGGGAACTGATAAAAGCCAGTCAGGAGCAGATAATGCGTATAGACTTTAAGAAAACAGTATTTCTTTCCCAATAAGATAGAAAACAGTATTTCTCTCCCAATAAGATAATGTTTTGGAAGTTTTAATGCTCAACATAATCTTAAAATTGTAAATTGGGGACTAATCAAGAATTGTTAAAAGGATTAAAAAATATACCCATCTTGCCAGCTTTATTCTACTTGGAAAACTGCTATGTAACAAAGCATCTCACAAAATATAATATTCACATAAAGCAAGGGGATTGCCAGTTTGTCATCATATGCAAATTATTTCCCTGGACTCAGTGGCATAGTAAATACATTCATTTAAGAAGAAAAAAAAATGGCAAACCTTTGGCTTGCTCCTGCTCCCATTGAAATCAATGGCAAGACTGCCATTGATTTCAATAGACGTGGGATAGAGTCTCTGTTTTGTGGTGTCAAAAGACAACTATGTTTGAATTTTTGGAACTGATGCAGCCCTGAAAGTCCATGACATTCCAAAAGTTTCCCCATTTGTTTGAGACCATAGCAACAACACATAAATTGCAAGCGCTGAATACTGAAGGGATTTTACTATTCAGAAAATTGAGGTTTTAAACAAGTGTATCCTGCTGTACAAAAAGTTTTTGCTCAGGCTTAATTTTTCCAAAGAACTGGTTCCAGCACCCTTTCAGATGAGTGACTGGATTACCTTTGTATTCCTTTTACAATGAACAAATAATGCAGTAATATTATCAAAAGTAGGAGAAATAGTTTTAAAATCATATCACAAATGCACCTTAAGTCTCTCTTTGGAATAAGAGCTATTGCACAGAATAAACTACACTTGAGTATTTAAAAAAAAAAAATTCTGAGACCCCGAAGCAAAGTTTCCACTTATTATTCTTTCCCAATGGAACAAAATAGATTAGCCATTTCCCCCATAAACTAGACTGTGAACACACACTAAATGTAGCATAAAAACGATGACAAAGCCACTAAAGCTGAGAGGACTGAGAGGTCCTGATTCTCCTGTTACTTATATTGTTGTAAATCAGGTGTAATTTTGTTGAAGTCAGGGGAGTTATACTGGTCTAAAAATGTAAGCAAGAGAAGAATCATCTCCAGGGTCTACTAAATAGTTTTTTTTAATGCATGATAATTCTTCATCAAAAAACCATAATGTAATGCAAATTAGCACATTTGTTACACTTCATGAGTGAGATTGCAATCTCTGAGTAAATTTAAAATGACACTATTGAAGACAGTAAAGTTTCTCCAGGTTTACATGAGTGAAACTGAAAGCAGTCTCTGGCCTCATGTCATGTTAGTGAATGCTGTGTGAAATGAAACTAATAAGAAGAAAAGCAGTTATGTACTTGTAACTGGTGGAATTGTGTACTAAACTAAATTAAGGCTGCTAGCTAGTGTAATCTACATACCTAGAAATTACAGTTAAAACATTTAAATGCTATGAAGTTTGGAAATGCTTAGATAAGTTAATGTGGATAAAAAATGTAATTCCCTTACACTTACACATTTTCTTAGAAAATAGGATATTCAAATAGCTTAGGTATTCAGAAATAAGGTAAACTCTGAATCCTGCTTCTTTGTTTCAACATAATCCAGTTGTTGAGCCATTTTTTTCTAACTCCTCTCTGATTTAGGGACCTATTCTGCTAGCTTTAGTCACATTTCTGGGTTCCCCACTCTGCATGTAATTCCATTAAAATCAACCAGATTACTTGAGAAGCAAGTTACTATTCAACAGGAGGAAGAGTGGAAGAATAGGGCCCTTAAACTGTAAACTCTTTGGGGAGAGACCTTGGATGTCTGTGCCTTCAACTACGTAAACTAAGGGCATTGTAGAAATAAATGATATAATGAGAGATGTCAGTATTAAGAGTTCTAAGTACAAGTTCTGCCCATTGGATGCAGACAACTCCCATTGATTACAATGTGACTTGCCTGTATGTATCTGAGTTTGGCCCAATACATCAGCCTTTTATAATTCAGGATTATTTTGCCAGAATCTCAATCTCTCTCTTTTTTCCCCCCTTTACAATACCCATATAGGTATCAATTCAGACAAGCTATTTTTGACTAATACAGTACCATCTCTGAAACATTTATTTGTATTCTTCTCTGATTATTGCAAATACTAGCATTAAATAAAAACAGTTTTAATTACAGCACTGTCATTTAAGACAGGTTGTAACAGACTCTCACCACTAATTAAAAATGATGATTGATTTCTGGCATTGGTTTAACAGAATTTAATTCTCCTGTTGTTTTTCTTCTGCAGTATCTGGTCACCACTAGGAAGAGCAAGCTTCTACCTGTGTTTATCGTTAAAATAAGGACTTAAGTATGAACATCACCTCATATTATTAAGACATGCTGGTCCTGATAAGAAGCCAGATAGTGAGTCCAAGGGAATCTATGCTAGTGTAATTTACACGCCAAAGAGTTGGCAGAAAGGTGTGCAGCAGGAAAGTGCGGTGACCTAATTTCATTCTTAAATTCCTCCCAGATATGTTGCTCTTCCTGATACATCCTCTCATCTGGCCCCTCAGTATATAAGTTACAATTTAGACACCCTTGGAATTAGCTTTACTGGTCCAAATTCAGAGGCGATTGTAAATTGGTAAATGCATGTGTGTATGTTAATCTAAAGGATTAGTTAGCATATAGCATAGTCTGAATCCAGGAGAGTTTAAGGGAGTTTAAACGAATGTAATACATTTTGGGTGGGCAGGGAGATGCTGCACATTACAGCATCATAAACTCCTTTAGATTCACTTAAACTCAACTCTGAATATGGCCCACAGAATCAAAGGGGAAATTCTTCTCTCACTGTATGTCCTGTGCCATTCCACAGAAGTCAAGGAGGAAGTAGTAGTATAAGTGTAACCTGGAGGACGTTAACCTGTCTATGTAGCAATCAAAATCAAAACCAGATTTTCTCATAATTAAGAGGGCCACTTGGGCTAGATTCTGTCAGTTATATAAATGTAAGTCCACAGTAGTTTAATTCTTCTTAGCATTTGCGCAACATGCCTCAGGTGACGCGTGACCAGGATTCATCACCGAATTTTGACTTAAGTGGTTATAAGTGAGAGCAAAGTTCAATCCATTTTTGCTGAAATCCTCCCATCAAAAAGTTAGTATACAGACAAGTTCAGTAGTCTTACGGGCCTGCATTTGCAAAGTGACTAATGATTTTGGGTGCCTGGATTTTTGGATGCCCAACTGTTGAAATATCTTCCAGGAACCTGAGCTTCATAGAGTGAGTGCTCAGCACTTTCTGAAAATTAGGCTCCTTCAGTGTGTCTCAAGTGGGTCACCCAAAACCAGAGACACCTAAAATCACTAGTCACTTTTGAAAATATTGGCAGTTTGATAATGGAAGAACTGGCAGTAGGGATAGATGGGTGCGGGGGTGGGGGAGATTAAATATGCTAATTCACTATGGGAAACATGGTCTCCTAATTAGGGCTGGGGAACTTTCACTCTCCGTAATATTATTTTGATCTCTTGAAGGTCATAAACATTTCCTCCTATAGACTTATTCTTGGCTGAGATCCCATGTTTTTATGGACACAGATACATTAAAAAGGAAGTAACAAGTTGTTACTTAGATTAGTGTACTTACATTTCCAGAAAGCTTTTGACAAGGTCCCTCACCAAAGGCTCTTACGTAAATTAAGTTGTCATGGGATAAGAGAGAAGATCTTTTCATGGATTGAGAACTGGTTAAAAGACAGGGAACAAAGTGTAGGAATAAATGGTAAATTTTCAGAATGGAGAGGGGTAACTAGTGGTGTTCCCCAAGGGTCAGTCCTAGGACCAATCTTATTCAATTTATTCATAAATGATCTGGAGAAAGGAGTAAACAGTGAGGTGGCAAAGGTTGCAGATGATACTAAACTGCTCAAGATAGTTAAGACCAAAGCAGACTGTGAAGAACTTCAAAAAGATCTCACAAAACTAAGTGATTGGGCAACACAATGGCAAATGAAATTTAATCTGGATAAATGTAAAGTAAGGCACATTGGAAAATATAACCCCAACTATACATACAATATGATGGGGGCTAATTTAGCTACAACTAATCAGGAAAGAGATCTAGGAGTCATCGTGGATAGTTCTCTGAAGACGTCCATGCAGTGTGCGGCAGCAGTCAAAAAAGCAAACAGGATGTTAGGAATCATTAAAAAAGGGATAGAGAATAAGACGGAGAATATCTTATTGCCCTTATATAAATCCATGATACGCCCACATCTTGAATACTGCGTACAGATGTGGTCACCTCATCTCAAAAAAGATATACTGGCATTAGAAAAGGTTCCGAGAAGGGCAACTAAAATGATTAGGGGTTTGGAACGGGACCCATCTGAGGAGAGATTAAAGAGGCTAGGACTTTTCAGCTTGGAAAAGAGGATACTAAGAGGGGATATGATAGAGGTATATACAATCATGAGTGGTGTGAAGAAAGGGAATAAGGAAAAGTTATTTACTTGTTCCCATAATATAAGAACTAGGGGCCACCAAATGAAATTAATGGGCAGCAGGTTAAAACAAATCAAAGGAAGTTCTTCTTCACATAGCACACAGTCAACCTGTGGAACTCCTTGCCTGAGGAGATTGTGAAGGCTAGGACTATAACAGGGTTTAAAAGAGAACTAGATAAATTCATGGAAGTTAAGTCCATTAATGGCTATTAGCCAGGATGGGTAAGGAATGGTGTCCCTAGCCTCTGTTTGTCAGAGAGTGGAGATGGATGGCAGGAGAGAGATCACTTGATCATTACCTGTTGGGTTCACTCCGTCTAGGACACCTGGCATTGGTCACTGTCGGTAGACAGGATACTGGGCTGGATAGACCTTTGGTCTGACCCAGTATGGCCATTCTTGTGTTCTTAAATTTCACCAGATTATGTCTTCATATTATGTATTTGCAACTTGAAAAACAGGTTTTCTTTTGCTTCAGTCTTCTGTATAGACAACATTGCAACAGCATGAAAAAAACCCTCCTCTTGCTGAAAGAAGAAGAACAGGAGGACTTGTGGCACCTTAGAGACTAACAAATTTATTAGAGCATAAGCTTTCGTG